GAGGGCGAGGCTGTGGCCATCTCCAGCCGACACAGCAACCACGCGCCGGTTAGCAAAGGCCTCGACGTTCTCGGGCTCCGTGCAAGCCGTCCAACGTGATAGGAACGAGTGTATCGCTTCGACGGATCGACCGTGCTTGTTATCAAGACCGATGTGACGTACACAGTGACACATCAGAACGACACACATTCTCACACCCGCCGGGCCGCAAAACGCTCTTGACGAGAGCCACAAGAAGGCGTCCGCAGCGCAAGCCGCTCGTCGGACAGGCGTCCTGCCTCGTTCGATGTCGGCGAGCGTATGGCGCACGCTTTGGACGGTGGCGAAGCCAAAAACACCGGTAGTGGCCGCTCGCTGGCGTGAGCGGCGGCGGTCGAGACCTCACCCTTCGCGCCGACGACCCAACCTCTACACTCGAACAACCCAACTTCGGCCCCGCTCGGACCTCCCAACTCCACCAACCCAACCCAACACCAAACAACCCCACTCAAAGCACGATTCTCAAGTTGGGCCCTCAGACTGACCACACGGGCCCAAGCGGGATTGCTCGAAAAGGAAAATTTCAAGAAGAAGATTCCGCCAAGGCAGACGGGTGTTAGGAGCCAAAAAGAATTTAAACAAACAACCGTCTCTCTCTCAGCAGACAGGGCCAAAAGAATTCGCGCGCGCGCTCGCTCGCTCGCTCGCTCGCAGGCCGTGGAATGGCGTCCTCCTCCTCGACCGCCGCGCCGCTCGTGCGGGCTCACGCGCTCGCCGTTGCGGCCGAGGACCTGCACGACGAGGGTCGCTGGCGCGAGGCGGCGCAGAAGCTAGAAGCGGCGGCCGAGCAGTACGTTCGAGCGACCCTCACCACTTCCGACGTGGCGTCGCTGCAGTCGCTACGGCTGCTGGCGATCTCGCACTCGCAGCGCGCCCACGAGCTGCGCTGCCGCATCACGCTGTGCGACGCGCACGAGGAGGCGGCCGCGGCGGCGGCGCCGCCTCCGCCGGCGCCGCCTCCGCTCACCGCTTCGGCTGAGGCGGCCGAGGGCGGCGCAGGGAGCGGGAGCGGCGAGGGCCGCGGGAGCTTCGGCACGCACTCCGGGAGCGGCGGCGCGGCGGCGAACGCCGCGCTCTCGCGGCTCGGCTCGCACCTCATGTCCACGCTCGAAGCGCTCCACTTTGGCGCTGAAGAGCTCGCGTGCGCCGAGCTGCTGCTCCCTCCGCAGTCGGCGTCGTCGTCGCGCATCTCGCTTGGCGGAGGGCTGCTCACCGACTCGTACTGCGTCGTGCCGCCCTGCAGCGGCGAGCGCTCGCCCGCGGGCGCTGCTGCCTCTGCCGGCGCCGCCGGAGGAGCGGCCGGAGGCGCGCGGAGGACAGCGGGAGCGGCAACCCTCCGGGCAAGCCGTATGGCCCAGCGCCAGCCCTCCTCGCCCGCAGGCGGGGAGCACGACGAGCGGCTGCGCGCGCAGCTCGCCGTGCTGACGGGCGAGAAGGCCGCCCTCAAGCAGCGCTGCGCCGAGATGCAGGCCGCGCTGGCAAAGGTTCAGCGGCGCGGCAGTCCGCGCCTGTGTCGAGCCTGTCTGCTGTGAGAGAGCGTTGTCTTGTTTGAAGGTGCAGCGGCGCGGCTCGGAGCAGCTCCGCCTCGCGAAGAAGGCACTAGGCCCTGGCCCTGACCCTCACCCTCACCCTCACCCTCACCCTCGCCCTCACCCTCGCCCTCACCCTCACCCTCACCCTCACCCTCACCCTCACCCTGGACCCTAGCTCACACAAACCCCACACCGGCGGATAGGCACACCTCGGGCCCTCTTGCACTCCTCCTCCCGCCTGCCCGGCTGCCTCCTCAGGCGCTCTCCGTCGTGCGCGAGGTCCACTCCGCGCCAAGGCCCGACCCTCGCGCCACCCGCCCACGTCCTTTCCCACGCCCGGTGACACGTCCGTGAACGTCCGAGACCCGTCCCGCAGGCCCGACCTCGCGCCGCCCGCCGCCGCCGAAATCAAGTCGCTGCGCGCGCAGCTCGAGGCGGCGCACGCGGCGCAGCGGCAGCAGGCGGAGGTGGTTCGCAAGTACGAGTCGCGATGGGCGCAGCTCAAGGCCTCGGCGCGGCGCAAGCAGCAGCTCAAAGACCAGCAGGCGGCCGCGGCGGCGCAGCTCGGCTCCTCGCAGGCGCAGGCGCCGCCGCAGCTCGCCGCGGCGCCGGGATCACCCTCCGGCGCCTCCGCGCCGCCGCGTCGCGCGCACTTTGGCGCGCTCGTGCACAGCTTCGCGGCGGGGTGAAAAGTTCCAGTGTGGTGTCTGAGGGGCGAGGGTGTGTCACTGAATCGCCCCAGCTGATCCAACACTCGCCTCCCAGCCTGTGTCGAACTAACACGTGTCGGGGCCGAGAGACCGCGGTGTGTCGTGGCTCGTGCACCATGACGCCGACCGTCCGGTGTGTGGACTCCATCCACCTATCTCAGGCGTCAGGCGGGCCGCGCAACACCGGACTCTAAAGCCGTAGCCCGTACTCCCTGAGAAACGAGCAGAAGAGTTTCGCTTTTTCCCACAATGTGGTGAGTGTCGTGTGTCGACATATAGGACACGTGCATGGACGATGACGGAATTCTTAAAGAGATAAAAGAGCGGGAAATAGTAAATAGAGAAACCAAAGGGCGAGGTGATCAGGTTGTCCACGAGGGTTGCTTTGATGATATTTATATTCGACCAGCAAGCAGCATCTGTCTGCGGCCGCCGACGAGCGTCGGGAAATAGCGTGGAAAGAGATGCACGTAGATTGGCCGATCGTAACTAGCGCGATCAGTCATCAGATTCGTAAAGGCGGTGTAGAGGAACAGCCGCTGGCGGTCGACCGTGGATACTCCCGAGCCCTGCTCCATCCGTTGCGCGGAGAGGTCGCCGATGACGCCACGAGCAGTGGCGGCAGCGAATGTGGTCCAAAGCGGATTGGCAGCCGCCCACCACGAGCTCATCTAGTAAATAAATAAATAGAGCAGACAACCCCTGGTGGGGTATTAGGGCAGCAACCCGACGAGCTCATCTAGTCTCCTGCGGACGAGCTCATATCGTACGTTGTAAAATTCTTTGCTGCACAATCGGTGTCGAAAACCCACATCGTCAGGCCGTCGGACTGGGCGCCACTGGTGTGCAGCAGTGATTCCCGCAAGTCGCCTTGGTGCTCGCGATAGCCCTCGCCGCCCCTCACTTCGCCCCCGGGCCAAGCCTCCGGTGCCGTGTCTACCCCACAGCCCCCGATTTGGACGCCTGAGGCTCGGCTGTGTCCGGGTGTGCATGAAAAACGAGAAAACAGGCCTTTTTGGGAAAGCCGACTTTGCCCCTTAACCCTGGTAGGTGGATTGTCCAAAATACGTCAGCCTCGCACGCCTAGCGCTACGGCTCTAGGTCTGACACCCGACCGCCCCCCCCTCCCTAATATTAACCGGTCAGAGTACATTTTTGCCGGCTAATGTTAGGGAGGGGAGGCCAAAAACGCATATTTTTGTACTCGAGTACGCCTGAGGTTAAATTAGTCCCGTGCCCAGTGCTTCGGAAAATTCTTTCCTTTGTCGAAAACCTCCCGCTCGACTCAAGTCTATTGGTGCACCCAGCCTAGTCGACTAATTCACGTTTGCGAGTACGAAAAATGCTTCCCGTGCGAAAAAAAAGCTCGCAAGCACACCACCGAAAAGGGCTCGGCGAGATCTCTCGATTGGCATCACTTCCCAAAAATCGACCCCAAAATCGCCCTCCAGACCCTCCCTGGTGGCCAGAGACGCGCGCCGCAGGCGAAGCGCTCGCCGCGGACCTGCCCCGCCGGCCCCTGCCGACCACGCGTTGGCATAGCACTCCTGAGAGCACCAAACCTCGCTCGTGTTGCCGCCGATAGAGCTCGACGCACGGCCGCAGTGGCTCGGGTTGGACGCACTGGCTTGAGCCGGCCTTTTGCTGCCCGGTGGGCGGCCGCGCTTTGGCTTGGCCGGTGGCTCCGCGGCTAGCTCAGGCGGCGGCAGCTGCTCGGGCTCGGGCTCGGGCTCGGGCAGCGCTGGCGCCATCTCCTCCGTCGGGGCGGCGGGAGAGGAGGTGGGAGCGTCGGCGGGAGCGTCGGCGGGAGGCTGAGAGGTGGCGCCATCTGAGAGAGAAGGCGGCCGGCGGGGCATGAAATCGGCGAGCGTCCGTTGGCTAGGGCCCTCCGCGGCCCGAGGCCGCTTGCTCTTCCCCTTCTTCCGTGCGCTGCTCGCACAAGAGAAGGGGAGGGTTGACTGCACCAGCGGCAGCGCCTCGCCGCTGGTGGACTCGCCCGAGCTCGACGAGTCGTCCGGCTTGTCGACGGATTCGAGGTCGCCGATGTCGTCGTCGCCCTTTTTGTCCTTCGGGTGCTCCTTGTTGAGTAGGCTCAGATTCGCTCCGCGCCCGGTCTTCTTTGCAGGCATCTCTGCAGCTCGAGGCAGCGAGAGCGGGCGCGCCGAGGACCAAACGCACCTGCGAGTGCATAGAGACGGCCGGAGATGGGTCAATCGTAGGCTACTCATGTGCCCTCGATGGATGGGAGTGGTCTGGGCGCGAACGATCGGTGTAAAATGGAGCTAAAAAAGCGCGCGTATCGCGTCATTGCGAGCGACAGCGCGTTGCTCCAGGAGGCCAGCGCGGTCGAATCTGGCGATTCGACACCGGTCGCTGGGTGCTCCGGACCGGTCCCGATGGTGTGGGCACCGCGAGCGGCGCGCGGCGGTCTCGCGCGGGCCGTGTATACGCGGCGCGCTCACCAGTGTGAAAGATCGCGCTCTAGGCTGGTTGCACCAATACGGGGCAGCGAACGGCTGGCGACAGCGGCGAGTACACCCGCAAGCATACCCAGGGCATTGTGCAGCGTTGTGTCAGTCCGTGCCCAGCGTTGTGCGAGACGACCATGCTATCCAGAGCCGCAACCAGAGCCGCAGCGCGACGCTCTCGTATTGCGCAGCTCGCCAGACGTTGCTGCAGCACCTTCCAGACCTCGCACACCGGCCTGATGATGCGAGACATGACGCCGCTGCCGCCAGAGGACGCGGTGCGGCCGGCCAGAGGCGAAGAGGTGGAGGTGAACTACGTAGGCAGGCTTGAGGACGGCTCCGTCTTCGATTCGACCGAGCAGCGCGGCCCGTTTCGGTTCACCCTCGGCCGCGGCCAGGTGATCAAGGTGCGTTGAGCATTTGATGCGCCTGCCGTCGGCCTTCACACAGAAGGCCCGCGCAAAATGGACCGTAGGGCTGGGACGAGGGCGTCGCGAGCATGCGCGCAGGCGGGAGGAGGGAGCTCATCATACCGCCACACCTTGGCTACGGGCCGCGAGCGATGGGGCCAATCCCGCCGAACTCCACCCTCTTCTTCGAGGTTGAGCTTCTCCGCGTCGTCCCTCCTAATGGCGGCCTTCTCGGCCGGCTCGCCACGCTCGCCAAGGCACTGCCCTTCCTAAAGTGAGCTTAGTCACAGTTCGCCCAGCTCGCCGACGCCGTCACCCGCCAGCCGTGTTGAGAGACGTGATTCCGGCGGAGGGTTTCTGCACAAAGACGAACGAGAAAGCGGACAAAAAACAAACAATTCTGTCTGAGTAGGGGAGAGACGGAGAGGAGAGTCATTGAGCCGATTGGCACCAGCCGGGCATAGGGGCAAACACTGAAAACGTAACTTGATCGGGGCGCGGTTTTTTTTGGACTAGACTGCTCGGGGGAGGTGGGCGAGTGATTGGGTAGCTTTGGGGCCGCCGAAAATAATGAGAACCGCCCCCTATATCTCGCCAAATCTCGATTTTTCGCGGGAATGGGGGCTTCTCAGCCCCGCGCGAGCTACAGTGACTCCCCAGGGCTTGTCCCGTGGCCCAAAGTGGTACCCCGAGCTCCGCCACGAGCGTGGGCAATCAGGAGACACCCACAGTCACGGCGGGCGAGGAGTTGGGTGACGGCCAACTGTCGATTACGGCGCCTCTGGAGCCTCCTGTATCGTCGGTTCGGCTCGAAGATCGTGCCGCATCCGCATGTAAACCACCTCCGCGCCCCCGCTGGCACATGTCCGCATTGCCCGAGCCTGGGAGAAGTTCCCAGTGCCCGGAGGCTGCACAGGTCCGCGAAACGCTGGCGCTGCAGCTCCCGGCGCGCACCCCAGATTCGCGAGGAAAACAGCCGAAAACGGGTCGCGCCGCGATCGACCCTCAGCGAGCCCAGGCGAGCCTGGTAATCCCACCCGGTGGTAAGCGCACGTCCTCCGCGTAATCTAGCGCGCTGTGCAGCCCGCCAGTGCATGGCGCCGACCTGGGCCGACTGGTCGATCTCGCCGCGATCTCGCCATCCAATTCTCGGTCAGGTGTAGTGGATCACCTTAAAATCCTGGATTAATTCCTGAGCCCACCTGGCCCCACCAGACGGGTGGCACGAGGCGCCCGGGCCACTTTTTAGCGCCTCCCGAGCCTCCCGGCGCCTCCTGTGGCCTCCTGGACCCTCTCCCCCGCAGCCTCTCTCGGCGACGTGGGGAGCGGCTGCCGTCCACGGCTCGCACCGGCTCTTCCAGCGGCTCCACGCTTGCCGCCTGTGACGCCCGCGCCACGCACTGCCACGCGGCCGCTCGAGAGAGCGGTCGACGCCCATACTGCTGGGTGTGGCGCTCTATCGGTCGACGCTTCGGCGTCGCTGCTTGGTTGGGGACCCGTGCCTCGACGCGGCGGCGCGGCCGAGTACGGCTCGGTGGAACAGCGCGTCGCCACGGATGAGATGCGGCCACAAGCGGCTGGGGAAGCTCCAAGAATGTTTCGTTCTACTTGCAGGAGAGGCCCAAGCAATTCGGGTGACTGCATGGCTCTTCGCCACTTCGCGTCGAGGGATGCGTCCAAGATAATGAGTTGCTTGATTGAAAGCGCCGTGTCTTGCGGCATATTCCGGGTCATCGATCCACGTGATGTGACAAACTAGCCGCTATTAATGAATATGGGGATCTTATCTAGTTAAGGCAACCCGAGCGACAACTCACGCGCTTGGCGTGTGTGCCTGCTGCTTTTTAGCGGATCATACGGCTTTATCCCCTCCGTTTTGTGCCAAGCTGCAGAAACGAGCTTTTAGTGCTTATGAGCATAAGCACTGGATTCTCATGCGCGCGGAGCGCGCCGGTGCTCTACCCGGACACGCGCGGAGCGCGCTAGCTGGACACCGCACGCGCGGAGCGCGCTAGCTAGACACACACGCGCGGAGCGCGCTGGCTAGATACCGCGCGGAGCGCGCTGGCACCTATGTGCGCGGAGCGCACCGCGGTAGAGTCTAGACACATGAAGACAGTCTGTTGCAGTCAGTTGTGGCCACGCGGCTTCGGCCTGACGTCGTAGCACTCGGCTGGCAGACGCTGTGTCTCTGCCTTCTTCCGCGTCATGACCAGACCCCACGCGCGGAGCGCGCCGCTGCATGGGTAGGCGCGGAGCGCCGCCACTCGAGATTGGGCCTGTGGGTGGGCCGATTGGTTCCTTGCGTGTGAGTCAAACTCTTAATAGAAATCGCATCTAGCCCTCCACAACCCTCAAAATTTTCTTCGGGGCGCGCTCCGCGCGCGGCGCTCCGCGCCTACTCCTTGAGCGTCATAGGCACTGGTTCGCACATGTTCTGCAGCTTGGGTTTTGTGGTAACGCGGAATATGAGCATATAAAGTACACAACACACATACCACGGTCCGTCTGCATCCTCGGCCATCTACCGCCGTATCGCATCACCCTATGTGTTCGCTGTCCACTGCATGTGTGTGCCGCAGAGTCAACGTGCATTGCGCGTGGGCGCGCCTCGCGCGCCTGTGGCGCCGCCTCATCAGCCGCCACGCCTGCTGCGGTTGCCCCGCGCTTCTTCGGCGCCCCGCGCTTCTTCGGCGCCCCGCGCTGCCTCGGCGCCGCCGCCGCCGCCGCCGCCGCCGCCGCCTCCGCCTCCACCTCCACCTCCACCTCCATCTCCTCGTCCTCCGCCGCCGCCGCCGGCGGCGGCGCATCCAGGTCCAGCCGCCACGCGCCATCGCAGTCCGCGTTGAACTTGCCCTTCTTGAGCTCGATCAAGCCGTCCGACTCGGGCTCGGCCGGCGAGACGCGGTCGTTGGCGTCCCACCTCACGCTCGCCGCCTCGCCGTCCTTGTAGAAGCTCCGCGGGCCCTTGGGCACCTGGGTGACGGACAGCACGGTGCAAGAGCACCACATCCACCCCGCGCTCTCACCCTCCTCCTCGCCCTCGCCCACCGCGTAGTGGCACAGCTGCTCGAGTCGGGCTCCTCCCGCGTGCGGTGCAGCGCCGAGAGCAGCTCCTTGCCGCGCACCTTCAGGAGCGAGGCGACGGGCACCGCCGCGGCGATGTGCCGGTGTAGCGTGTGGGAGCCGTTGGCCGGGTTGTACGACGGGCCCGAGATGCCCTTGGACTTGGCGAGGCAGTTCTTCAGATAGTTCGAGAGCGCGGTCTGCCCGACGTCGTGGTCGATGACCTCGAGCTGCACCAGCGTGCGCGTGATGTGGGCGAGCGGCTCCGCCGCCCGAGCGGCGGCTTGGCTGAGCAAGGACGGGACGAGGCCCTTGGCGAGAGCCAAGTTACGCCACTCCGGATCGTCGGTCGGAGGCTGCCATCGCTCGCGCAACTGCGCACAACACGCACACACGGCTCAGGCAGCAAGGCCGAGATAGAGCCGAGATATAGCCGAGATATAGCCGAGATATAGCCGAGGTGTAGCAGCCGCGGCGGCGGCTCGGGGGGCGGTGGGAGAGCAGGGCGGGCGCCTGCTTGTAGCGACTCGACTGCAGCAGCACGACGTTCATCCACTGGTCGACGAGCGTCGGGACGGCGACCCACGAGCCGTCCGCGCCGCGGCCATGTAGCAGCACGAGCAGCGCCCATGCGTGCACCTCCGCCTCGCTGGGCAACGCCTTGCCCGAGGCGCACAAGATCGAGTTCCTGCGGCGCGCGCGAGGGGCAAGAGCTCGCCAAGGCGGGGCGAGCGCGGCCACGGCGAGGGCGGGCACGCACCGCTTCGATTCGGGCGCCCCGCGCTGCAGCGCCGCGCGCCGCTCAAGCTCGGCCTGCACGCTCTGGAGGATCTGCTGCAGCTGCTCGGTCGTGACATCTGCGGCACACACGCGCAAACCTGAGACCCCCACGGGCCCGGCGGCGGCGCGGCGAGCGGGGCGCGCGCAGGGGCACACACGGGCGTCGCAAACGCGCGGGCGCAGCGCGCCTGGAGCACCAGGAAGGGTGCCACCGCCGGCGCCGTGCTCATCGTGATCACCTGCACGCACAGGCATCGCAGATCGTCAATGTCCCGCTGTGTCCCGAGCTTGGGGCTCGCGCTCCGGCGCCACGGGCTCGACGCGAGGACTCTGGAGAGAATGTCAGAGTGAGAGTGGATGAGGTTGGAGTGGAGGCGGCAATCGCCGTGCGGGCGCGCCCGGGGCTGCAGACTCCTCCAAAGCAGCGAGACGGGAGCGCGCGCGCGACCGCGGGCCGGATTTTGCGGGGGAACTCGGGGGGAGGGCGCCCCGGACACGCCCTGCACGCGGCGCGGGCTGGCGCTCACCAGGAGCGGCAGCATTTGCGGTCTAGGCTGCGGTTTTTCTTTCGACGCCATCATTCTTTTCCCTTTCAGCGGCCTCACTTGTCGCATTTGCGAGGAGAGCAAGCTCGAGCGCTGCGGCGCCGGAGTCTTTCGGTCACCATTCTGGACCAT